GGGGGACTCTCAGAGACGGAATGCTATAGATTTTTTAAACAGGTAAAAGGGGAGGAGCAATTCAGCAATAAGATAGATAGATCTTGAGACTTGTGATGGGATGGGTGAAAACTACACAATGCCATTGTGATTGATCAAGACTGACCACTCTTTGCTTGCCGTATGTCATAAATCCACCTAGGGATCGCTTCAAAACATTTAAAACTAAGGGGAGACCATTTTACCAATAGTGACAGACACCATGGATTCTCCCCTTGGTGTGTCTGCTGAGATCCCACATTTTATTTTCATTACTGCCAAGCACTGGGATCCTAGGAGGAGACAAAATTTTTTTTAAAGTACTGTATTTCTGAAAAAAATTACTCGAACAATGTGATTTTCAATGGATTTGCAAAGCTTAGAGAAAATATATCAGTCGGCCTTGCTATATCCACTCCTATATATTATTACATTGAAAAATGTATTGTATCACCTGGCCCTACTTTTCTGGGCACTAAAATGCACTCTCTATCCCCAAAATTTCCCTATTCACCTTACAACCACCTAATAGTAATAAAAATTGTCAAGCTCATAATTGTCTTCAACACCCACTGGAAATGACAAAAACATGTCACGACTTTCCTTCTTCTCAGACCTCTCTATCAATGTTCGACGTAAAAAATGAAAATGAAACCAAAACAACTCTTAGTATTAGGCAGGTAAAAACCTTGCCAAGCCAAGGAAAGGTTCTAGGCCAATTTCTCTGAATTCCATTGTTCTGAGTTGAGCAGGATTCCGTTTCATAGAGGAAATTATCAAGGGAGGAAAGGGGAGATTCCGTTATGAATGGTCTCCGTTAAGGCAGGTTCAACTGTACTTGTCTAAATCAAACTAGAAATAGGCTAAAAAATTGGAGGTGAAGGCCAGACTACTCCCGACTGACCAACAGTTTGTCCCACAAATTATGATTTGTTGCTTTGTAGTTTTAAAAAAAATTATGTAATAATGAAGCATGCAGAGGGGGGTTTAATCCTCTCCGGTGTCTTTACGGCAGTTTTCGTGCGGTTTATTGTCTTTGCGTTTACCGTGTTTCAATTTCAAGCATCAGCGTTCTTACTGTTCTGAGCATCAACGATCTAAGCAATCTTCCATCATGTCCAAGTACTACATCTAGAATCTAGATCTCTAGGCTAGGAATTCGGCACTCCTGCACAATTGCGGTCCCGTTAGATCTAGCACTAAATCACACAAGCAAAAATGCCTACAAAAAGAACAGTAAAATTTCACTTTTACCAAGGCAAGGGGGGTTTCAGGGGAGCCCCCTTGACCACCTAACAAAAACATGGGGGGTTTC